AGCAAAGTTAGCTGTCGAATACAAAGCGAAGATAACTTTTTCTGAAGAGGAGACAGAAATTAATTTCGCTCAGGAGTGAAGAAGAATTCCTTTTCGAAAGCCGGCAAGTTTTTGTGAGAGGGAGAGGAATTTTTACGCGATGTTGGCTTGTGCACGTGCAAATGGCCCCAAGGGAGTATGGAGTGTTGCAAGCTTGTTGCATGCATCATAGTTGCACCGTGTAAATCGGCCGTTATAAGTAGCAGTAGAGCACTGGTAACCGGCTTTTATTTCGACCCATTATAAAATTAAGGTCATGTTTTATTGGGATCAAGGCTTTCAGTTTGGCTGAGTTGTTTGAAGGTTTTGGCCTTTTTCTTGTAGGCATCAACCAAAAAGAAAGAAAGTTAAGAGAAAAAAGGTGGGAAATAAAAAACACCAGTGGCAACCGCTGTCACATTTGGTGCCTTAACACTTTAAACCCTAAGAGTGACTAGCATCTAATTTCTCCCCACAATATCACCTACGGATCATGCATTAAGGTCATGAGAATATAGGAAATGATCACCAACTAGAGAAGCTCTTGATTGTTAAACAGTTTCTCCTTGTCGGCACTTGAAGAAATGTATAGAGAACAGTATGGAGAATATGCATAATGATGTAAGGGTGCAAAGGGTTAACCCTTTCACTCCCCAGATCTCATTAGTAATTCTCCTTTCTGTCTGCCATACAAATCTTATGATGCTAATTTGGAGAATTTGTTTTTGGATCAACTGATAATCCCCTGATTGATATTTCTCTTTCATTCTTATCACTTGTCTGCTTGTTATTGTATTGATATTGTAAGGAGAAATTCCTTCTTGATCACTTATGGGAGTTGAAGGATTAATTCGGCTGGTTTATCGTCACATCAATTTCAGTCACCACAGCATCTTATTCTCAAAAATGAGTCAGAAGAGCGCGAAATGACGATCACGGTCGCCATGTTGTCCTCCTTCAACTCGTCAACGCGGAGAAGTCTGGTAATGAGTGGAATTGCCTCGTTTCAAACAAAAATGGTTGATTAAGTGTTCTAACGCTTATATTTAGAAAAAATTTGGTTTCAGTTAAAGCGTTTGATTCCCATGACACACGACCTTATTGTATGCGAGAGAAGGCCAAAGAGTGAGTGGGGTGGGGTGGGGTGGGTGAAGACATGAGGCAGAAATAAGAGAAAAAATGGCGCCTTACAAAGAGATGAGACAATTTTCATTCACATTGAGCTAGATACCTGCTCATCTTTTTCACGGGCCTTAGATCTGCAGATTGCTGGATAAAATGTCATGGCAGTGAAAAGACTAGAACATTAATGATGTAGGATAGATATATATATAGTATTCAAAGTTGTTACGGTTCAGAAATTTTTTCTTGATCAAGCGTACGTTTCCCCTTGGTAAGGCGGCACATCAATTTATTTGTCTACCAAAAGAGTAAACTTCTTCTTAGAATCTTTTCGTGTTTAAGATGAATGAAGCACAACAGGTTTTTAATAGTGTTGGCACAGTTCTTTGACGTCACTACGGGACGTGATATTTCCTAAATTTGTGTTTCATGGAATATTTCGACATTTGACGACATTTGTTTCTTTACCATTGGATGTCGGAAAATTGAGCCTAAGCTTTGCATATTGCAAATTCGAATTCGTTTAATTGCGTTGAAGTTGTATAGGGGACATTGACGTTCTGTCTAGGTGGTGATTTGATTTTGAAATCAAACCATAACAATTTCGTTCTTAGGCTCTCTCTACTCGTTTGGTTGAGGTTCTGGGAACGAAAGTGTGACAGTGCCGGTGGGAATTGACAAATGCCTTTATAAGGAAAACCGTATGTTTGTTCAAGAAAAATGCAGTTGTATATAAAAAGAATAACAGTTTATACTGTAGTTGGTAATGTAGATATACATACGCTGTATGCATGCGATTCGCCTTTGAAATATCATGTCAGTCACTTTTAAACACTAAATTTCGTGTCTATGCGAAAGCCTCTAAAAAACACGGATCTAAGTAAAACATGCATGTGCGTCTCACTAACCGAGTTTGAGGTTTGTACTTGAGTTACGGACCAAGTTTTTTCTGTTCAGATTTATGGCCCAATGCAAGGAAGATCAAAGTGCGCGTGCCATAAATCCGAGGAAAAAACGAGTTTCTGTAACTTCCAGGAGGGACCTGGAAAACGAGGTTTTAGTACGATATTTATCATATCTCTGGGTTCAAACATAGAGGAAAGATTTCAATTCATGCAGAAATTTGAATTTAGCGGGCCGTGTAGTGAAAAACGGCCTGCCTAAATTGACCAATCATAACGCACGTACGAACAAAGTTATATGATAAAATAATTTATGCCATGCTATGCAATTCGCGATCGCCTATCACAAAATTGAACAGTGTAGGTCAAAAGAGTTTGAGATATAAATGATAATGAAGACAACGTAGAGATCAAGCAAGATTTTAATATGGAACCAGTCATTAGTTATCGCCAGAGGGGGGGGGAGGGAGGGCGTGGATGATTATGATGGGGAGATCACTTGGTTTTCAGGGGGGAACAGAGAGGGAACCAGTCGTCGCCGACATAGTATAAAGGGGGGTAAAGAAAATTGACTGCAGAACAAAAAATCCCCCTCCCCCCCACACGCCCAGACGATAAATAATGTCCGGTCAATAAGAATGTTCTATTGAAAGTGGTAAGAATTGAAATTAAAATGAAAATAGGGACTAATTAAGACAAGAAAATGAAACAAGTTTTAAGGTAATGGAAAAGAGAGTCATAGTTATAGATGTAAAGTTCCAAAGGACGTTTATTTTTGTACAGCGAATTCGGAGTGTAATATGTGGTTGCATAAAAAAAGGACGTATGAATATTTTTGGTGGATCGATGAATCTTTTGTAAAAGATCTTTGTTTAATGTTTGATTCTCGACTGAGAGAGGGGTTTCTGAAGAGAGTACCTTTTTATTGATATGACAGTGATTTGAAATTTCAAGTAAATAAAAGTCAGACAAAATGTCACCAAGTATTCTGATTGTTATGACAAGGGAACACAACTTTTTCACTCAACCCTCCCGCGCTCTGACTGCGCAATGTCTGTTGATCGTTTGCGTTTTCATCTCATGTTGGTGTCTCGGTAAAAATATATCTTCCACTGTAACAATTCTATAGGGACGGAGGAGCTTGGGACCGTGGGGGGGGCTAGAAAAAAGTCTGCTTTAGTAAAGGTACGTGCCAAAAATAAAGGAGAAATAGTCAAGGAGCCAGACCCAACAAAAGATGGTTTCGTTCAACCCACCCGACAGAAAAGGTTTGACAGTTGATTCTGATAGACCAATACCTGCTCTTTAAGCTAAGATACTATGTAGTCCCGAATTGTGGTACCCCTGACGAGATAAATGGGGCTTTATATCATGACATGGCACTCAGCATAGAGACGAGGCTCAAACAGAAATTGACCTCAAATTTCATCTTCTTCCGCTTAAGTGCCCCAAATCTTTCTGGAAAAGTGATGAGCATGCACCTACCTACAATATGAGTGTTCACATGGTACGACAACATGTCACGTGATTATCACATGACTATTTTTTCGCCAAAAAGCAGCCTCTTTTGTCGATCCTGACATATTTCAAATCCTGCTGAGACTAGGGTAAAGGACTTATTCAGGCTTTTCATCAAATGAGGATACAAAGAAGTCGTGTACTTTCGAATAACATTAAAAAAAAACATTTGGAAGTGTAGAACTCTAGAAAATCGACAATGTTAGTGCTGGTCTCTCTTCCGTCACTTTTTACATGGAAACGAGGCTGGAATAAAAGTACCCTCAAAACGGGTCAAATCTTTGAAAAAGTGGTATGAAAAAGATGTAAAATGTCGTAGGCTTTCCTTCCTCAATTTCAGGGGTTATGACCTTCAGTAACTGATTGAAGGCTTGATCAAAAGTGTTTTCCTCTCTTGTGGATGTGGCGACGTTCTGTTTCCGCTTGATATTAACCTTGCTGATATAGCAGGCATGACACGTTTTGTGGTATTTTCCCTCCGCTGCAATAAGATCATGGCTAACCGACCGAAGTATAGATAACAGTTCATGGTCTCCTCTTGCCTCTGCAGATTCCTTTATACTGTTGCATGCTTCAAAGGTGGCGATGTTTATTAGCTATCGGTTCTTTTTCTTGTTGCATTTTTGCAGAAAAGACACTTTGACCAATCAAACACCATGCGCCGCTCTTTAGATTCTGCTTGAACATCACTTGAGGATTGTACTCCATAATACCGTAAATTCTGTTTGCTAGTATATGTTTCGTAACACGATGAATGCCACAAAATATCTTTCCCGGCTACATTACGGAGATCGTCAGCTGACAAACGATGCGAGATTTCATCTTGCCGAACTTCACGAGCAGATATGACTTTCTGTATTGAAGACAGTTTTCCAGAGCGAAGGACGTCACTGCTACTCTGGCAAAAAATGCACTTATCGAAAGAAGTTTTCTTTGCTCTCTTTGCCGGCATGGGAAAAAGCTGCCAACCATCCTTTTCCTCCATGTCGTCTACAGCATTTGTGAGACTTATTACCTGTGCAGATAATTTATTTCCAGACGTTTTCACTTTTAAATCGGCTTTTACAAAAAATACATCAGAATTACGTATCTGACAGAGTTTTAAAATAAAAAAGAGCTCTGTCTAAAAATCCTGCTGATAACCTCAACACATTGCTAAAACATGTTTTTTTAAAGGAAGATATATGATCAAGCAGGAAAGGAAATACAAATAATAATATTACTAGCAGGTGCAATAGCGATGTTCTAGAGTCTCAGCGCATTAATTTTGAGAAAAACGAGAGCAAACAAGTCGCCGTAATAAAGTTAAGATATCAAACCTTATTTATCTTGAACTCTTTGATGGCCGTTTACATCCACAGTCGGATACAAAACTCCGTTTACAAATCTGACTTACTGATTGAGTCAGGGGTTTATGCAGCTGGTACTACCTCAGTTTTGATGCTTGGCAAGTCATACAACAGAGGTATTCGTGCCCACAAGTTAACCATGGAGGCGCTCTTCAGGTTGTTGTGGAAAGCCTTCCTAGACTGGCTGTCAAGACAAGCAGTTGGTATGGATGACCGAGTAAGACAAAGTGTTGCTGACCAAAGAAGGGAGTGTCGGAATACAGCGAGACAGGATTGCTTCGTTAACGATGCCTGGAAAGCATTTCAAGGTTGTGTCAATCCTCTCATGACACTGTTTGAGCAGTTGAAATCTGAAGGCAGAGAAAAGTCCAAAGTTTTTAGTTTCTGGGAAGGATACATTAATATAGTGCTGCTGCTTCTGCAGTTCGTTAAAGCTGAACGAACCGGAAACTGGAAACTCCACCTCTCCGCCACAACTGAAATGGTTCCCCATTTTTTCTCTATGGACAGGGTCAACTATTCCAGATGGCTTCCAGTCTATCTCTCTGACATGCACATGTTGCAGTTAACTCACCCCGCAGTTCACCAAGAGTTCATTACTTGAAACCACAGTGTAAGCCGCTCTAACCAACCGTTTGGGCAAGTTTGGCCGGATATGGCCCTGGAACAATCAATTAACCTTGATACAAAGACAAAGAGGGGCATAGTTGGAATGAGTACGAACGAAGATGCTGTAGACCGATGGTTCTTAACCATTCACGAGCGAGCAGCCATGACACATGCACTAAAGGAGATGTGTGGTCTAGAAAACTGCGACTGCATTGGGACACACAAGGAGGCTGAAGCCACAAGAGTGAGCAGAGATGAGAGAGATGTACAGAAGTTGTTTGAAACCTTCAAGAGTGATCTCCTCAGTGACCCTTTTCAGATTCCAGAAGAAATATCAGAGGAGGAAATACCCTTAACCTTAAGTAGGCGTAGATGGAAGCATTCTTCTCAACGCAGAAGAGTTAGGCAGAAAAAGCATGGAAACATTTCTTTCATCGCGAATCCAGAGAAATGAAATCAATTTCTGGGATCCAATCCAGCGGCTGAAGATTAAAACATTCAGTTCTAAGGCAAAGAAAGTTGCAGTGAGCAAACAGAAAGATAAGACTGTAACTGTCAATGCTGATCGTGAGCTTTTTGGTCGCCTTCTGGTTGTTGCGAGGAACAGGGATATTGATCTCAAAGAGGTTCTTTCTTATGAGCTTTGCGGTGTACCAGTCGCACTTGTACATCCTGATGGCAGCCTCAGGAAGACGACAAAAAGCACCCTAATGTATGTCCTTGAAAACAATGTTACGTGTAGATCAAGCCTGCCTTCATCACAGCACCCTACAGCATGTCTAATTGATGCGATGGCTCTCATTCAGATAGTTAAATCAGCAAGGTCTGCGACATTTAGCCAGTTATCGCAGAAATACCAAGACATTGTCACTAGTAAATTCCATCAGAATAGTCACACCAGAGTAGACCTAATTTTCGACCAATGTAGGCCTGTCTCAATTAAGGCACAGGGGAACGCAGCAAGAGAGGAGAATCAAGCTCGTTTGAAATCAACATCCACAGTGGATCCACGCCAGTTCCGAAGCAGTGGTCAAAATATATCTCAAACCCAAAGAACAAACAAAACTTAGCCGCCTTTCTCTATGAGTCGTCAACAAATAACTTACCGGCATATTTAGGCCCTCAGCAGAAGGTCGTCCTAGGTGGAGGATTCAAGGATGGATTAAAAGCAGTGTGTCTAACTAGTGGTTCCGCAGTTGTTGAGCCAAATCTACGTTCGGATCATGAAGAGGCAGATACAAAACTTCTGCTTCATGCCAAACACGCTGCAGCCACTCATCCACGCATTGTGATACAATCACCAGACACTGATGCTGCCGTACTTTCAGTAGCACATTTTTCAGATTTAAACTGCCAGGAACTGTGGTTAAAAACAGGCGTCAAAGACAGACTGAGATACCTACCTGTCCATGAGATTCAGGCTTTCCTGAGGGAATCTCTTTGTAGATGTCTTCCATCGTTCCATGCACTGACTGGTTGCGACTCTACAAGTGCCTTCTCTGGAATAGGGAAGAAGAAGGCGTGGAAGGTACTGCTGACGAAAGAACAGATGCAACGTGATCTCTGTACTCTAGGACAGAATCCTGCCATACACGAGCCTGCGCAGAAGGCTGCTGAGTCTTTTATCTGCTCCCTTGACACTTCTGCAGAGAACTTTTCAAATTTAGACGACGCTAGATATTTTCTTTTTTGTCAACGAAATTTGAAAAGCGAAGACCTGCCACCGACTTCAGAATGCTTGTCTCATCATATCAAGAAGGCTAACTTCCAAGCCTTTGTTTGGAATAGAGCTTTGGTTCCACTTCAGAACATTCCCTCGCCAGACGAACATGGATGGAAGCTGTGAAATGGCAAGCTATTCCCTGTTCTGATGACAAGGAGTCCTGCCCCAGAAGGCATGACGGAGCTAACAACATGCCGCTGCACAACTTCAGAATGTAAACGTAGTTGTTCCTGTCGGAAAAGTAACCTCTCTTGTACGGAGGCCTGTTTATGTATGGCAGATGATGAGTGCCTCTGACACTGAGTGACATTTGTTGTTTTTTATGTCAGTCTGCAAATTACATGTACTTATCAGATCATTACCTCTCCCGATACAGATCCGAACTAGGGGCCGATAAATTAAGGTTTTGACTGTTGTTTTACAATTCCGATTCAACGATTCTTTAGTATGCGACAAAGATTGGTAAAGATAGCAAATTTCTTAGGGGGTAATTTTAAAGACCTAAGTGTTTGTAAGACAGATTGTCATCAGTGGTTGTAGTTTACACGTAACGAAATAATTAGAACATGTTGCAAACTGGTATCTTTTTGACTTACAAAATGACATCACTAAAAAATACCTACTGCTTTCACATTGTGAAGAGCTGTTGCCAGTACCTTTCACTCGCAGTCGTCTCCCTTTGAATTTCAAAGAATGACTGACGGCAAGAAGCTTCCATACCTATAGTTCCACATGTGGTCGTTAGCTCAATAAACAGAATCCAGTCTCTGTACAGCAGAATATTAGTAAATCCGCGTTTTTTAATTTTTGTCATAAATTAACAGAAATAAACGTAAAATGTTGGCAGATATGCATAGAAACAATTTTTATAGGCTATCATAGAAATGCCGGCATTCGCATGCTTTCATATTTTCACAGCATCTTTCATTTTATCAAAGATTTTCACTCGTTTTGAGGTTGCTTTTATTCCAGCCTCGTTTCCATGTAAACATTGATGGAGGAGAGACCAGCACTTACATTGTCGATTTTCTGGAGTTCTACGCTTCCAAATGTATTTTTTTAAATGTAATTCAAAAGTGGACGATCTCTTTGTTTCCTGATGTGATAAAAGGCCTGAATACGTCCTTTACCCTAGTCTCAGCTGGATATGAAATATGTCAGGATCGTCAAAGGAGGCCGCTTTTTTATGAAAAAATAGTCATGTGACAATCACGTGACATGCTGTCGTACGATGTGAACACTTATATTGTAGGCAGGTTCATGCTCATCATTTGTCTAATAGGGTTTGGGGCACTTTAGTGGAAGAAGATGAAATTTGAGGTCAATTTCTGTTTGAGCCTCGTCTCCATGTTGAGTGCCGTGTCATTGTATAAAACTCCATTTATCTCGTCAGGGGTACCACAATTCGGGACTACATAGTATCTTATCTGAAAGAGCAGGTATTGGTCTATCAGAATCAGCTGTCAAACCTTTTCTGTCTGCTGCACGTATCAGCACCCCCGGGGTACCCCTTTACATAAGAGGGCGGGGGTGCGCGCCTGGAATTTTCGAAAATGACCGCTATAGAATTATAAAAGGTACTTAAGTCTTATCCGTGTGGGATTGGCAACAATTAGCCTGTAAAAACAAGTCTTTATGTCCTTTTCTGTTTTTTTCAATGCTTCCCTCGCTCCTACAGAGGATTCATACAAATATAAGAGCCGTGCGGCGTTTACATTGCACAGGCAGAAAAGGTCGTCCAGAATGAGTGTTTCGTTCTGTAATGAAAACCCCAATAAACTCACTCAGAAATGACTCGTTTCGAATAAATTTTACGCTGGTTATTATGTGGCAACCGGTATGAACTCGTTCTCGTGAAAAACTCATTGGGATATCATGTAAAAGGTCTCTAAAAGTTTTTATTGCCAGAGCATCACGCTTTGCTCGCCTGTCTGAATGCTAAAAATTTCTGTAGCGTTGAAGCAACAACCCGCTTTTAACTGCTTCGCTGCCGCTGAAACAACGATTAGTGAAGGAAGCACATATTTTAATATTTTCAATTCAAAGTAAACAAAAATCTTTATATATGGTAAATATTCACTTGTGTCGGTATCAAATGATTGCGTGACTAGCTTGTGATATAAATGAGGGAGGGGAAAACGCAACGCAAAACCTGGGCTCCTGTCAAAAAGTAATACCCAGGCGTAATATAATAATCGAAACGACAAATAAAAATCATAAATCAAGAGTGTTATGTTAGACTTTTCTACAAATTGTAGTGATTTATGCCAATTAACGGTGGCGACAGGTAGGCGCACCATGTATATTTCATAGTCGCTATCAAGAAAATTTGCCGGACTTTGAGTTCGTCTCAAGATAGAACAATACAAATCACAAGAAATTTTTTACAGTAAATTTATAACCATCCTTTGGTCTTTTAAAAGCTTGAAGCTCAGTAGGTTCTGTCATATCGGTCATTGTTAAAACTGTCTTTGTTTTGATGTTACTTTTCGACATAGGAAAAGTATGTCGGACAAAAATATTCACCAAAAAATAAATATTTCTTTGCCAGCTTCAACAACGACAGGGAATTAAGTTTAGATGATAAAACAAAGGATTATGTTCACAGAAATACCGTAGGTCTTGTACAATCGTCATATGAGGTCACACAACTCGGGTAATATTCACTGTGAAAATTTGCATGTTTGAGCGGTCGAGCGAAAAAGGCATTTCTCGAAAACTAAAATATATTTTCACAAAAAAAACTACACCACAATTATTAGAACATATTGGGCTACAAAATATGAAAGTAGGAGAGAAAACGAATTTTGTGCGACTTGCCACAATATTTCAAATTTGTTCGATGGATGCTGAAATCCTCTCCTAAAACTCGGTCAGTTTCGGGCCCTAAAGTGCTCTTATTTTATCCTTTAATTGTTCCGTAGACTAGTAACGAGTTAGCCGTTGAACAGCATAAAGAAGCTCACCATTCTTCGCTTGCGAAATGTCAGACGGAAAGAATGTGGAATAATCGTGTCCGATGTGGGAAAAGGCCCCTTAATCAGCACTCTTTTTACCTGAATTCATTGGCAGTCTAAGTTCCCCTGATTTAACTAGAGGTATGTGTTCACGGCAGCCTTCTCCTAAGCCGAGACGGAGTGTAAGGCCGACGACTTTGAAGAGTAAAATCTCTTCTATGACGACGATCAAAACGCGTCCAATTTGGCCGTACAGCTACATCCTATGGAAAGTAGAGTATAGAAATACCCGATGTATGTGTATCATTCTCGTAGCTAACATCATTTAGCACTCCGGCCACGCAATATGTTCGTCCTCTCTTCTTGATTTCTCCTTTCTCCACCAAATTTTTGTCACAGTTTTCCATGTCACGGCTACGTAATAAGATCGTTTTGGCCACGCGCCAGATGGGGAAACTTTTTGGCCGTCAAATCGTACTTTCAGCGCGCAAAAAAATGGCCAAGGACAACTCGCCAGGCGCTAAGGTCGGTTATTTCAGTTTAAATAAGCTATCAACCAGAAAACGCAAAAAAAGAGATAGGCACTTTATATCTCTTCCATCATTTTTTTCCTTTCGTATTATATTAGTTAAAGGCTGGTGAACCTGTGGTATGGAGCCGGGTTTTAATTCACTCTTCTCTCATCCTTTTTTCTTGCTTTTCACTCTCCTACTTCTCTCTCAGAAATAAACGGCTGCAGAGTGGAAGAGTGAGGAAAGTTTAAACACCTGGGTAACCTGTTACTATTGTCAATGTATTTTCTCTCTCTTTTCTTTCCTTTCCCCTTTTTAACACGTGCAAACGAATTTTTATGAGGACTTACATATGCAAATGAGTCACTCACTCACCAAGATGTAAACACTGGTAATTAGTCGTTCCAAACTCGCTCGAGCACGAAACCACAGACCATTAAACGTTAGTAAGCCTTTGTTACGTACATCGTTGCTTTAGATATAACCTTGCAAATGAAAAAGATGTTATCGATTTCAGGCACAAACCTAATATTGTGAATCGCTTCGCTTGTTTACGATCTGATGTCAAACAGGAACCGTGATTAAATTAAATTAACTTATGTAAACATTGGCCAGTGAATCGATCTGAAGCGGACGATAGTAATCCTGTGCTTTTCTGACAAAAGAAATCTTTTGGAATTCACTGCTGCATATCTTTACACTCAGACAACTGAAAGAATTGCGGTCGCATAAAATGTTTACTGAGGTATTTCGTTCCGCGGCAAAAAACTTAAAGAGTTTTGTTGTCAGATGCAAGCGGGAGTGAAATGCAACCATTTATTGAGCAGCTGTGAGGCGGAACGTGACATATGAACGGAAACTAGTGCAATTTGCCTTGTGCAAGCGAAGAAAGATTTGGATTGTAGCGCCTTAGCTTGAGGAAACTTTGATAAACGCAGGATACTATTTTGTGCTGTTTTGAAAGACTATATGCGTTCATTACTCAGCGGAGTTGGATGGTGACCATAATTCTGGATCTCTCTGTGACTTTCCGGAAGCTTGGCTCTTGAGATAAGAGAAACCTTGCTTTACTGCAAGAAATATAATCACAGGTTTACAACCATGTTTCATCTCTAGATGAAGAACTCTATGCACGAGTTGGCCATAGGTATTCTTTGATTTTAGTTAGCAAGACATGTCACTCTTTCACATAGTTTTTCTTTGTAAGCAGAATAAAACCCAATTTCTAAAACATCCAAATTGTATCGAACCATGGGTCAGTTTACAATAGATTTCAAGCAAAAAAATGGAATTGAACAAAGGAAGCAGCAGGCTGAGGAGCATCGTAATCAAACGGACTTTCTGGAAGAATGGAAAAAAAATTTAACACATTAAGAAAAAATAGAGGATAAAAAATGAAATTGTACTGAAAATACCTTTATTTATATCAGTTAAGTCTTAAGAAATACATTAATCGCTCAAGTAAACTTACCCTTACAAAATTCAAAAATATATTGTGACAACTTCACTAAAAAAAATTCACTTCGACAAATTAATTGTTCTTTAGAGCCTACAACAAAGCCTCATATAGTTATTATAAAGAGTCTTACCATACAACATGGCTACAACTCAGTTAATTAATTCTTTGTACCCTAAGAGTTATCAACCTCAAATTTCTCCTCGCAAGACTAAAAAGTGTCAGGACGTTATCATAAGTAAAGTTTAAGAGCATCAAGTAACTGATCACTAAACAATAATTACTCTAACCTTTAACCAATTATGGTTTTCCCTTGCTAAAGAGGAAAGTGAGTAGAATCTATTGCTGAAGACAAAAAAAATTGCTTCCGATTTTTTAATTACAACAAAATCCGAGGCAGTCTAATGTGTTCAACTTCTCCTCGCGCTGATAATCTCGTGGTTTACACGCACACGCGTTACAGATGAAGCATAGTTTCTTTTATCAGTTGCATCTATTAAACGTGACATAGTAAAGGCTGAATAGATAAGATTGTAAAAAAGTGTAACGGTCTCCTAACTATAAACGTGCAAGCTTTCATAGAAGCTCTTACAAAAATAAATAATCTTAGACAAGTCTTGACAAGCACTTATACTGATATCGACCGATAAAAGCTACTGTTCATTTACCCTGTTCAAGGTCATAGTCATTAGTCACTGCTTATTGATAAACATCATAAACACCTCTGCGCTCCAGCTTACCCAGAGCACCAGCACCAGCATCACCAATTTCATTGCTACTCAAATCCAAGCGTGTCAGCGATGTATTATATTTCAAACACTCTGCCAAAGCAGCAGCATCATCACCACCAGTTTTATTATCACTCAAACCCACGATGTACTATATTTCAAACACTCACCCAAAGCAGCAGCACCATCATCACCAATTTCATTACTATTCAATCCCAACTGTGTCAGCGACGTATTATATTTCAAACATTCACCCAGAGCAGCAGCACCATCATAACCAATTTAATTTCTTTTAAATTTTAACTTGCACCCCTTCGTTATATTTCAAACACTCACCCAGAGCAGCAGCACCATCATCACCAATTTTATTATCATCCAAACCCAAAAATCCCAATGATGTATTATGTTTCAAACACTCACCCAGAGCAGCGGCACCATCACCACCAATGCTATTACCATCCAAATTCAACTCTGTCAGCGATGCATTATATTTCAAACACTCTGCCAGAGCAGCAGCACCATCATCACCAATTTCATTACTCCTCAAATCCAACTCTGTCAGCGATGCATTATATTTCAAACACTCTGCCAGAGCAGCAGCACCATCCTCACTAATTTCATTTCCAAACAATTTCAACTCTGTCAGCGATGCATTATATTTCAAACACTCTGCCAGAGCAGCAGCACCATCATCACCAATTTCATTTCCATCCAATTTCAACTGTGTCAGCGATGCATTATATTTCAAACACTCTGCCAGAGCAGCAGCACCATCATCACCAATTTCATTACTACTCAAATCCAACTCTATCTCCAATGCATCATATTCCAAACACTCTGCCAGAGCAGCAGCACCATCATCACCAATTTTATTATGATCCAAATTCAACGTTGTCAGCGATTTGTTATATTTCAAACACTCACCCAGAGCAGCAGCACCATCATCACCAATTTTATTATGATCCAACTCCAACGTTGTCAGCCATTTGTTATATTGCAAACACTCTGCCAGAGCAGCAGCACCATCATCACCAATTTCATTATTACTCAAATACATATCTGTCTGCAATGCATTATATTTCAAACACTCTGCCAGAGCAGCAGCACCATCATCACCAATTTTATTATGATCCAAATTCAACGTTGTCAGCGATTTGCTATATTTCAAACACTCACCCAGAGCAGCAGCACCATCATCACCAATTTTATTATGATCCAAATTCAACGTTGTCAGCGATTCGTTATATTTCAAACACTCACCCAGAGCAGCAGCACCATCATCACCAATTATAGTTCTTTTCAAACCCAACGTTGTCAGCGATTTGTTATTTTTCAAACCCTCACTCAGAGCAGCAGCACCATCATAACCAATTTTACTATCAACCAAATACAACTTTTTCAGCGATGTATTATATTTAAAACACTCTGCCAGAGCGACAGCCCCATCTTGCAAAACGTCACTCAATAATAAAAAGGTCACTGTTGTATTTGTTATCAGAAAGTTGCTTAAAACGACAGCTAATTCTTTATATTCTCTTACCTTTGAAATAACAACAGTTTTGATTTGAAGAGAAACGCCAAGAGCGGTAGCCAATTTTTCATCAACATTTTTGTTCTGCTTTTTGCATTCACAAACACACTTTAATAAAGTAGGCAGGCCTTTCCCTTCATCCTGGTCTAACTGTGTTGCTATGCTTTTCAGAAGGTTCACCACTGTTTCCTCGCATCGTGCTGCTAGCATACCAAATGCAAACAGAAGCACTTCTTTCAGCTCATGGCGATATTTTCTGTCAGCAGCAATACTGTTCGCGCTGATTTCTTCCTTGATAAGCTGACAACTGAGATAGAATGCTGCAAAGAATTCTTGGAAAGTCTTGTGAAGAAAGCTATAACGTCTAGTTGGTCTTAGTTTACTGCCTCCAGGCTGAACTGACAGAAATCCAAATCCAGGTAAATCGCTTGCTTTGTGTTTTCCAAGCTCCTTCTCGTCAAAATCCAAGTTGTCTTCAAGTAAACCTTTCAAAGCTATCGAACCAAGGTGTTTCAACTGGCTTTCGTAAAGGTCAACAAGGTCTTCACCGTTCTCTGGTAGTTGCTGCTTTGTTCTGTACCTTCTTAGTACACACTCCACTATTTCCATGTACAGCTTCGTTCTGCTTTCAGGAAATACACCTTTCAAATCTTCATAGACCAGGCAAAGAAGCGCAGTGTTGAGAGGATTCGTCACAATTTCATATAACTTGTAATCAGCAAGTAGGTGTGCGATAAGCTGCTCGGCCAATTTTGGTTTGGCTTCGAAGTACTTTTTGACGAAGGACTGTACATCTTCTTCGGTAAATCCATCAACCTCTAACAGCGTGTCGCAATATTTTCGAACTTTGACTCCAGCTTCGTGTCGTGCCGTAGCGACCACGCGACAGTTTGGCAGTACTCGGCCTTGAATAATTTCTGAAAACATAGGTAGCTTCTTCTCAGAAACTTCATCCAATCCATCGAGTATTAGAAGAACATTAGATTGGTTGTGGCGAATGAAGTCGAAGAATCTCTCGCGTTCGTCTTCACCAACTTCTCGAGGCAGAAGTTGATCTTCAATGGCCTCCCAAAGGCCAGACTCAACATCACGACATTTGATCAAAAGCACTATTACGAAGTTTGTGAAGCAATTTCCGGTTGTGTGTTTTTCTGTGGCCCAGTCGAAAACAACTTTCTTACAGTAAGTGGTCTTTCCCATACCAGGCTTCCCTTCAATTAACACTACTCTTGGTTCTTCACATTCTTCGTGCCGGTTGAAGATTTCAGACATCGTGACAACTCGGTCTGTTGCGGTTCCTCTCGTTTTCTCTCTATAGATGACTTTCAGTCTGGTGTAGATCTTGTCAAAGGAGAAGTGGAAGTCTTCACACCAGGGAAACGGTGCCAGCCAACCTTCCCGCTTTTTGTAGAGTTGACGAATGTTATCAATAATTTCAGTTGGGTCAAATCCATCTGAAAAAGTATCGGCTATTAGTTTTTTAGGCATTCTAGGCGATACGCCATATAACGCCATGACTCTCGGAAAAGTAAGCAATTACAGGATGATGTTTAGCCGAAGGCTGAGGCTTATAACACTGACGTGAAGTCTCATAACTCATGATATTATGGAGAAACGGAATTCAATCATTGTTTGGTTATACATTTTTAAAACAACTAAAAAATAAAACATTTCTCATGATCAATATTCGCTGCAGATAACAGGTTATCATGTCAATTTCATACGCTATTATAACAGCAAGTGAATTTGTCTAATTAAATTCAATTGCGAAAGCGTGCTTCATATTCCTATTGTGCACGCTCATGACGTCGCAAACAAATCCCTCGAGAAAAAAAATTTTTCCGCGATCAGTTTTACTTTTGTATTCAATTATACAACAAAGTTCATTTACACGCATGAATCATGTCACCTGTCATTTTTTGACCAATCTAAGATAAGATCGTTTACAGCGTAGCGAAATTTTTTTCCTGAAACAAAATCATCAACGCGCTGAAGCGAAGCAGAGGGAATATTAACCCTTTTAAAACATTTCGGCTTCACCTCGAGCAACTCTTACGCATCTTTTGTGCTCTCCAAACTTCAAGCGTGCTTCATATCTCGAGGAACGCACGCTGACGTGTGAACCAATTGTTAATTGTATATCAATTAAATGCTCTCGACTAATCAGTTTTTCCATGGTAAGTTTAATGTGTAATAAAACTGATTATCAACTGTCATATGATAACTTCTGATTTTAAAGGGATCCCCCATTTGTATTAAAATTCAATAAAAACACGAGCCTACCTTTCTTCCAAGTCTTGAGTGACTTTTAGATTTAAATTAAACTATTGAGTTTTTCGCTCTCAATTTCATGCGCGATAGTTGATTCAAGCTTCGCCCTCAAAAAATAACTCGAGCCCGTATTCCGTTAGTTAGTTAGTTAGCGCAGTACGCACCTTGCTGCTCAGTTGTTCTTTGTTGTGCCGCCAAATCGTCCAACCTGTGACTCACGTTTCCAACATCAATTTTGATTTGATCAAGGTCGTTTTTGATGTCCCCTGAGGATGAGCATTTCAATATTATTAGCTGAGCAGAAGCGTCAACTGATAGCCACTTCGTTTAAAATAGATCGCGTAAAATAGATCGCGTATATATTTAAAACAATAAAGTTTTCAAAAACACCTTAAAGTTATTGCTAAGGAGAAAGATTAATTCTCAGCTCTATTGCAAGATGTCAAATGCCTTTGGCAAAGGTTTCGGTGACTATTTCTATTAGCGAGTGACGATGGCTTAATAGGCGGCTGTGCCCTGAAAAGAGCTGTGAGGCAAAACCGAAACACAACAGCCCCGCCGGTTACACAGACGGCGATGAGAGGTCTTGTTGCAAATTCTTCTAAAGAGCACCTTTTTTTACGCACAAAGCATAGGTCTATTTTCAATGAAAATTTAGCATTATTCATCGCATTTTTAGCATTATTTAATCTGCTTTAATGTTGCTCAATCAAAAAATGCAACGTTCTTCCGGTGAACACTCACTTAAAAATAACTCTCCCAAAGTTCAGCAGTTCAATAGATGAATCGCTTTTGAATTCATAGCTGCCATAGGGACTGACCTTGAAGCTGCGTTTCCTCTTGTCGGGCCATCATTAAACTCTCCAACTTGTCATGTATGTTTCCAACTTCACTTCTCATCTGATCAATGTCATATGTCATTTTTTCTAAAGTTGAAAACGCATATTGTCTGAAAGAAGTCCAAGTCTTTCTTTACTTTAATAGAAATATCTGAAACAAGTTTTTATTCATATTTAATGCGTATATGCTACATTTTCATTTACCATTAAAATGATCAAAGGGCACACGGCAATATGCACCTTACAGCGCTATGACAGTTGACAGATTAGAAAATTTTGAAACTCCTCTCATACTTCACTGAATTCAAAGTTACTTTTAATGGAAAAGTGACTTAAGAAATGGCATCTAGAATTCACCTTGATCTTGTGCGTCATGTTGTCGTGTCATTAGAGTGTCCAGCTTATCACGTAGGTTTCCAACTTCAGTTCTCATCCAGTCAAAGTCATTCGTCAGTTTATCTGAGGGTAAAACATATTTTAGGGTTTCATAAGTGAAGGCTTTCTCTTATAAATTGGGTCTAAACCCTATTTGAAACGATTAAATGTCTTCTCAGGTACAAATAATGCCCAACCAAGGGTTAAACACTGACAAAGATATGTGTTAAGGATTGATAAATCTCATGGCAAAACATTATCTATTTTTGATCCGAGATTAAGCTGGCAAGATGGAGTTTCATCGAAAACTTACCTCGATCCTTTGTTTCCTGTTGTCGAGCCATCATCGTATTCAATTTTCCACAATATTTCCTACCTCACATCTCACGTTTCTTTGTTTGTTTTTTTACATAACATTTATAAACCTTTCCACTCCCACGGTCTCATTGGTAACTATCTGGATTTTTTTTCTCTTTCTCTTTGGTTTTGTCATCTTTTTTCCACGCTCGTGACAAGACAAAAAACATTTCTCTATTTCTTTTACGGAGCTCAAGATTTACCTTCTTTCTTATACCATTTAAAAACATGCCGCTATCAACATTGCTGATCCTAGCAGCATGCAGGACGCGTGTCATATCTAAACTTCGTAAGGGGCCCAGCTCACCATAAAGTCCCTGTGTTGTTTACTGGTCCAGAACATATATCAAATCACTTCACATCACTTTCATTGGTAGATGTCATTAACCTCTGAATTTTCCATATTTTGGTTGTGTTACATAAACCACGCTAACTACTGTATGGAATACATGCAGGCCAGTTCACCTGGCTCATGGAGTGAATTTTTATTCATCAATTACATCTCTCAATTTAAACATAAGTTTTTTCTCCCACCACCTTAGGAGGCCTTGTTAAACCTACAGGTATGTAAACTCTAAGGGTAACTTAATTTCCTATTTGTGAAATATTACTGAATAAATCGTCTTGATTTATAATCCATACAAGAATATGCCGAGGGAACTTAGATCTTAGTCAGACCTATCCTTGTAAAAAGAGAACATTGAGACAGGAAGCAATACCTGCATTAAAGTGAGGCCAATCTTGGAATATGACTGGATCATTCAAAATGTTGGCCACGACAGATGCTGCCATCACACTGGCAATTTTTTTCCATTTCTTACTTGAAGACTGCGTTTCATCTGCAAAGTCTTTGATGCCCTTGACTACCACCCATTCTATCTTAAAATCATGAGCTGCTGCATACACTCCTGAAAAAAACACACACATGTCTGTTAACTATATATTAAGCTTATTTTCTTTGCATCCTAAAAATATTTGTTCAATCAAAGCTAACGAAGATTCACACTCTAGCTGTTTGTAAACATGCATATTGAAGGAAAACGTTAGTTAGTTCCGAAATCAAATTTTTTTCAACCAGTAATTTAAAAAAAATTGTACACTGAGACTGTAAAATTATTCTTCAGGCTTCACCTTGTTTCATAGGTAACTTTCAACATTTCTCAAAAGACAAACTTCTGCCAGATAGAGTTAACCCTTTCACTCCCGTGAGTGACCAAGACAGGATTTTTCCTTACTATATCGATATAATATCATGCAGACAAGTGATGAGAATAAAGAAACATGTCAATTATGGGATTATTAATTAATCTGATACCAAATTCTCCAAACTAACACAATGAGAATCATTTAAGGAGAACTGCTAATGAGATCTTGGGAGTGAAAGGGTTAATGTCTATTATACAATTCCTATGATGTTGGTTAGGAGGATTTGGTTTTGGATCAACCACTAATCCTCTAGTTGACTCTTTTTTATTTTCCCATTACTTATCTGCTTGGTATCATGTTGATACTGTAAGGAGAAACTCTGTCTTGGTCACTCATGGGAGTTTAAGTGTTAACAGGGACTGTGATACCTTTCCTCAACTCTCAAACTACTCAACAAAATACTTTCTACATTTTTCAGATGAAAAATTTAAGACAATACATGACATTCTGAAGGAGCACACTCAATTTAGCCAGAAAAAGTATTCAGTCACCTTCACCTGTAAAAAAATCTTCCTACCCCAGCCAAACACAAAATCACTATTCTTATGCAATATATAATTCCTGCAAATTTGACATGCTATGTGATACATGCTATTTCCTGGACCAGCAGAGACAATACCAGAGCAGTGTTTTCCAAAACACTTCCTTCAAGTGCAAAAGTGCTTGGCTCATCAATTATTTGAATTATTATGATTCTCACCTCCACCTTCCATTTCAACTGCAATTGCTTCAGGATGTTTCCTAATCATATCTCTGTTTGCCTCTGAGATACTCAGAACCACTCCATCACAATGCACTTTGGCGTTATATTTATCAGCATTTTGTAAAGGTGCCTTCCACCCATCAGCCACATGTTTGATCAGGTTTCCAATATCTCTGCTGGGGGGAGTTTTGTATGCAGCTGTTATCAGCTTTGCTGAAACAACCACATCTCCTAACTTGACCTTTTTGCTGTTCAAACCACTGCAGGCACCAACAGAAAAAATAGCCTTGGGTCTCAGTAGCAAGATGGCATCTTTTGAAACAGACAAGGAACCCCCAGGAACATCAGGACCTTTGGAGCACCTCGTCAATGCGATTTTCATTTCCTTTCCTTTATCATCACCCATGCACCCAAAGTACACAGGGCCAGTACTGTTGTGGTAACTCTTAAAGGGTTTCTTCAGGTAGGCAAAGCAGCTTAAGAACTCACAGTCTTCCACTGTTAATAAAAGAATATCAACAGGAAGTTCAACAGTTTCCCAGGGATTACAGATTTTTGGAAGATCACTCAACTCTGGAAGTTTCACTCTGAGCTCTGGCAGGCTGCTATTGCTAGTCTGCGCTGATGTATTTTCCCCAGGCATTGGTACGGTGTCTGAAAAAGAAGGTTGTAGTTTTTTTTTTAAACATTTGTATGTAACAATTAAATAGCTTATCCAAATGGAAACCAAAAGATAAGAAAGATGAAGAAAGAAAGCAAATTATGGATACAGTCGATGTATCAAGGGAATAAAGATTCACAACTTTAATTACACATAGATGTGACTTTTAAACGATCTAGTACGACTAACTGTACATTATTGACTCTAAAAAGTTAGTTTAAAACTCAGGTTTTCAAAAAATTACACACACCTCTCTCCCATGAATTTTGTTCAGAAATGTCAAAGGAATCCTCCATGTCGCCTCCTTTCCTGGCCTTTTTTACAATTTTGTCTTCATGCAATTTGTCTGTGACGCAGTCATCGTCTTTCAACCACTCTCTCAGAAGCTCTTGGTAGTGTTCTTCAAGATCAACATCCATACAATGGAGTGTAAAATCATCTATGACTTCCTCATAGCAGGTCCCTCCAATACGCACAAAGGTGTCTTTGATGTTGTTCCAGTACAAACTAAAAGTTGGATCATCAACTGAAGCATTACCAGCATGACTGAAAACTCTGTCCCTGAAAAACTTGATGCGAGTGATGCCAGCTTCTGGAGAGGTGTCTGATCCTGAAGGAAGGTTATTCCTGTCAGAGGCAGGGAGAGTAAGACCCCAGATATTCTTCAGAAGAATTAGCAGTAGGGAGGTGTTAAAGTCCTTTGAGGAAACTGAAGATTTGGAAGCAGGATACAGTTTCTCCCACTGGGAAGTACTCAGGACTCTCTTCTTTCGCAGTGTTTGCAATTTGGCATGGTTTGTGGGATTAGTCAGAACTGCATGTAGGTTTTCTGGTGGACATACCCGGTCAAAGATCTCCCTTAGCACAAGTGATCCAACTTTAACAAGAAGGCGACAGAGCTGGGCATAATTAGAGGTCTCCTTGGTAGAAGGATGCAGTGGGGTGGCAGAAGCCATGAAATTAAGTCCTCTGTAAAGAAATGCTTGTGATTAATACATGGAAGGCAACATTACAGAGCACATATAAAAACCATTACTTTATTCTTACTTTGCAACACCAGAATATTACAGCACTCCAAAATGAGTTAAATATCACAGAACAGATCAATAAAATAAGTTTGATGCATCTTCCATTTTAACCCTTTAACCTCTAAGAGCTGTGATTGGCTTCTAATTTCTCCTTACAGTACCAACCTTGAATCAAATGTATGGGTCACAAGAATAAAGGAGATCATCAAAAATTTAAAAAGTTCCTGATTCTCACATGCATGTCACACTATTTACTTTCTCATATTCAATAATTATATAAAATATTCCTTTGACTTGCAGATAACAGATGCTAATCCAAGCAAGGAAATTTTTTACTTAAGGTTACTGTCAACAAAATAGGCTGCCTTCTGGAAAAATTGTCCTACTCATGCTACTATTAAAGATCTGTAATAAACAGAGATCTTCAGCAGATCATGGCTAGTTTAACAAAGGTAAAGTCTAAAGGTACAGGGGAAACTTCCATGTGCTCTGTTGTGCAATATCTGTTTACTTGATGCTAAACACATGATTAGATTACAACAGAAACCTTAGAAAATATACAGTAAAGCTTATAAAGTACAGATTGTGGAAATAACAAAACTTTTCACAGTTTTTGTTTGTTTTGGTAGGCACACGTAAGCATTTAAATGCAACATTGATGGTGTTTGCTATGCTGAATTACTAGCCTCTGTGTTACTCCAGACCTTGAAATAAACTGGACAGTATCACCCGGCAGATAATGGGCTAACAAAGAGTGTCAGGCAATTTCGATATTCCCATTGGTTACTGAGAAAATATATTGTAAGGTTGGATTTCCCTTGATGTCAAACTCCGATAAATTGTGAGAGAAATATTTCAAATTTAATTGAAACCTTATGCACTTCTGTGTGATAATATCTGCGGAACATTCAAGCCATTTTCATGAAAATCCAACAAATCTACATACCCTGTTCAGTGTTCTCCCTTATTTTAAGCATGACAGGTAAAATAAATTTTCAAACCGGTAAAGCAATCCTTTTACTTGTTGAATTTTCAAGAATTCCAAGCAATTTTAAACAGTAATAAGGGGTACTACAAGTGGTAAATGTTACCAGTTACTTCCTGAAAAGGGGAACTCTGCCTATTAATGTAGACTGGGGAAACTTGTGTAATAACAAACCTCAAGTTTTTTGGCCTCCAAGGAAATTTACAGTTTTCTTGCCTCATTTTCAAAAGTGTGTGTCAATGTAATCATGCCGCCAGCCAATAAAACACAACATGGAACCCCCTGGCAAGCCTCCTGCAAAGAACTCCTTTGAAATTTGCAGGAAAGGTCATTTTGTGAAACAGGAACACAAGTTAAACATAATCCAGAAGTTGTTCAGCAGGCGGGTGAAAATGAACTTAACTTCATCTTCTTTGGCTCATGCTTTCTTCCACATTTAGTCCACTCTTTTAGGCCATTTGATGAAGACTCTCATTACCCAAAATTTTGATAAAATGTGCTTGAGATTCACAGTGAATGTACAGTGCAAGATGTGATGAAAACAACATATGCAAATTGAGATCCTGGACAAAAAAAGCCTGCAGAAAACGTTAACACCATCTGCTGGAGGCCTTTCTAATTATGACACCTGTCGCTCTTCTGTACAGGTTTCCTAAAACATTCTCTCTGTTGTATCTCACCTTTTTAAGATTTTTTCGGCAAATTAAATGTCTTTTAGGTGGTTTTAAAGAAAAACAAATCCCGAGTATCTAGGTGCACCAAAGATATTGCACAACTGCAAGTTCAACTTTTTCAATTTTGCCATGTTTAAATTTAACCATTATCTCATCGGGCTTGATATAAAAATCTTCAGTCTCTAGAATATTGAGAAGAGCTTTTTTTGTTTCTTTTTTTAAGGATTTCTTTGAAAAATTTTTCTATTCATATGGCATCTCATTCCAGATTTTGACACCTAGAGTACTTAATCCTAACAAGTTGTAACGTTGATGAGCGAGTAACTATTAGGCATAATTGTTTGATGTTCTCACAAAAGGTTTAATGATGTTAGAATGTGCACTGTTGTTATGAACATCGAGCTTTAATTTACATACAGCTTCATAATATAAGATGGTAATTGGAAGAATTTTTGCATTTATAAATAAGTGGACGGCATGTTCTTTTCTATCAGTAAGGTAAATTAAACATAATACTTGCTTTTGGAGAACAAAAATTTTGTTTACTATATACTTTTTAGACCCATTGCCCTAAGCAGGGAGTCCATTGGTTAGATTAGGTAAAACGAAGGATTTATAAATATTTATGAAGACAGATGATGGAACAATGCATCTTAACTTACATGTAGCAATCATTTGTATGGTCTCACTTATTTCAGCGATAACACAGTCAACGTGGTTTTTCCAAGAAAGATTTTCATCAGTTAAAACACCTATTAAATAATTGATGTAGTTCTTATGTTCTAAACTGACTCTTCTATTTGTTTCACTATCAAATATACTTCTTTGACAAATTCTCCTTGTCTGTTCCATAGGAAATGTAAAGAGAACAGTGTGGAGAATATCAATACCAATGTCTTAGGGTGTTAAGGGTTAAAAGTCAAATGGGGGAGGGTGAACCCACAAAATTCTATAAAACCCTCACTGCAGGACACATGGGTAAGGCAAAAATTAATATGTGTTGCGACGATTTTACCGAAAGGCGAGCGGCATTCATGAATTGATGAACCAGCCCGTGGTGTGATTTGCCTTATGTAATATACCTGACCCCTTTTGTTTTATGAGAACCTCTGGGTTCCCTTGAAGCCTTGAACACAAGGAGAAAGAATTGAAGTTTGTCCTTGTATTTACACGATGCTTTAATTTTTTAATGGATCAAGACCTCCTTTTGTTACCTTCAACTGGGTGGGCTTCAGAGCTTTGAAGTTGAATTGCTGTTAAATAGTGATATTTTCAACTGCAAATTAGCCTTCAAATGTGATGCCACGGGCATCAACCTCCTCAGGTGGAAAGGGGCATACTTCCCCAAAAATTGTGAAAATTAAAAATGAAGTTGCTACGATGTCCTTTAACCTTAGTGAGTATTTTCACTGCTGGAAAGTGAGGCAAGTTGAAAGGGAACAAGGAGTAAATTATATTTAAAAGGATAATTAATTTCATAGTTACTTCATTAAATAAGCAGTTTGCTGGGAGAAACAATACATGTAGTTTCGGTGAGAAAATATAATATTAAATTTGTTTGTGCAAGTCTCATGCTTGATGTGAAAGACTTGAGGGGTGACTCATAAGCAGCAGCTTACAAATTTCTGGAGTGGAGGACCATGTATCAGTTGTTCCTTAGGCTCAAAATGAAGGAACGTATCATGTAATTCACAACAAGCCAGCAGTGAACTATAGAAAATAGATTTTAAACAACTGTGTTGAAAACACATTTCCAATTTGGAAGCCAAATGAATTATAAGGCCACTACGGTCTTTTGATAGATTTCATCCCATTGGAACTTAAAAACTGTTCAATTTTCTGCTAACATCAATTCAAGTAAAATAAATTTTCGTGCCATGAGGCACTTGCAGGTAGATGGTCCATCAGGCAAAGCTGATGCCCTTCAAAAACTTGACTGTTACGGGATTCCAATCAGAGCATGTCTTTCCGACACAAGTTACAAAAGGCAGAGGAGAGATTACTTGTAACTCTAGAATTTTCCAAGTAAATTAACCAGATTCAGAAAAATAGTAGATACTCGGTCAAACAATATAAAATAATAATGAATGTAAACATACTATGTGTTTCTCTCAGAACAAATAAGCAAATGGTTGGCAAATACGAAGATGTCTTCAACAAACATGCAGAAGGTGCTTACCGAAGCACCAATCCAAGAATTTAACCCATTTTACTATTAAAACACATACTTCATAGCTAGTAGCCGAGCAAATCCACCCAAATTCAACAAAACAATGACAAATAAGTGAATCAACATCAAAAACTACCGATTATAGTGATATCAAGAGTAATTATGAGTTCCAACTCGTAAAATACGAGCATCTCTTCAACAAACGTGTAGAAGGTGCTGACCAAAGCACTAACCACGCACTTAAAACACTTGCCTTTTAAATACATATTTCTTAGCTTATTTTTTTGCGAAACAAGACGAAACAAAATAAAAATAAACTAAGCGAGTCATATAGCAAAACCAAAGGAATAATGCTGTATATTGTTCGATAAGGTAAAGGTTGGAGGAAATGTTAAACATGATAAGAAGGATTTTAATACATTGCCAAAAGTAAGTAATTTAAGAAGTGTTACCATTCTGCGAGATCGACTATTTTCACCCTCCAGTGACAATGTGACCTTTTCATGTATGAGACGAGAATGGCTTCATCTTTCCCGCTCAGTGAAATAGTCTATTTCGCAAAATGATAATTGTGCTAAAATTACTATTTTGGGAAATTAATTTTATATGGATAGTGAAGTGGGAGGTGACCAAGATCTTCGGGAATACAGTATATTATAATATTATGTCATAATAAAATATTATAATATGATGTTTAAATGTATTTTTGTGACTCAAAAAGGAAGACATTGCTATTAAAAGGTCAAAATAGTCCATTCCGTAAAATAGTATCTCTCCTAAAATTAATCTTTGATAAAATATATTTTAATATGGTTCAAGAAATAAGAGGAGGCCAAAATCTTTGGTAAAAAACTAATTTGTAATGTTTTTGTGACATAAAAAAAGAGGTCATCACATTGTAACCCCAGGGAGAAAACAGTCGATTTCGCAAAATGGTACAGTACCGCTCACATATACGTTAACCGAAAAACGCGAATCAAACGCGCCAAAAATCGCATGTTATTGCATATAAGAAAATCGTGCGCGTCAAAAAATCGCACGTACGCGCACGACCTTGAAATATCGGCCTCATTAGTAAGTAGGAGGTAGTCCTTTTGTT